GCCATGGCTGGAGTATGGACCACAATTGAGGGTTTGTTTGTCAAGGTTCAACGGCATAACTTCCTAGATAATTTTAATGGAGTATCCCCAGGGACCCTTGATACAATGAATTTATAGCGTGGTGGCTTGTCCAGCTGTCAAATCCGTGTTACTGTATTTGGAGACCGGGGGCCTGCATTACTACGACTTTGATCGACATTGGAAGGTCCACTGGACAGTTATTAACAAATAGAAACCATGGGCTGCCCGGGAATAACTTCTTATCTTCTCATACTGCTTTAGACTGCGAGCAGTCTGTCCTTTCCTCGAAAATCCGTAGGGGAGAACGCAACACAAGTAAGCGTGCGAGCGTGACTGTCAGCGTGACATGCTAGCGGCGATGCCGCAAGCCGCTTGTAGCACGGGCACACTCACAGTCACGTTTGCCTTGCGTTCTTCCTCACAGTTTTCGAGGAAAAGAGAGACCGCTCGCAGTCTAATACTGCTTTAAATAAACTTTTTTCATTGGAAATCTCATTGTTCTGTCTTTGACCCTTTACACGGAACAGGGCGCATGTCTTTTCGCTGGAGGACATCACATTTCTCCATCTCTACAAAAAGTACAAATTATGCCGTGAAATTTAGCATCTAGCGTCTTTAACTGACGAAAAAGTAATCGCACATTAAAAACAAATGAAATTGTTCTATTTTTCTTTTATAGTCATACATGTAACTAAACAATAGCCAACCTCTTTTGTTAAATATTAACAAAGTTTCAAGTTTTTTTTTACAAAATTCTTTTACTTGCTCTTCACAAGTAGCAATTTAAATTAAGAAATACTCCTTTTAATTAACAGCTGATTCTGACAAACTAACCTGCCTTAGCAATGCTATAATCATCACAAACTCGAGTACAAATTTAACAAATGTATAAATTATAATCATACTATTTTTAAATACTATTAAATCACTCTCCCTAGATACACGATTGTATAAGTGTCATACCGGTATTTGAGAAAAAATATCAGAATCTCCCACATTTTCCCTCTTTTGACTTTTATCTTTTCAAATTTTTAGCATTCGTTATAACTCTATGATATCTGTTTCGTTTGTAGCAAAAAAAAAAAAAATCTTAAGATATCATAATCTAAGAAAAACACTCTTGTTAAAGAAATTGCAAGTGTCTTTCACTCGTGAACTTATAAAACTGAAACTGACACCAATTAGCTGGTTGTTCACGATGGTTTTTAGTTTGAAGAGTTCAATAAATATCCTAAATAATTAAGTTAGTTTACTTAATAATCAATAATGTTAAGGCAGACATGACAACATAATTATTTTAGTTATTTGTATCTTGGCTGATTACATAACAGGGCTCAAGTTTTACACTCGCAACGCGAGTGGTTTAAAGTTTGAGAGCCAAAATTAGATAGAGTACTGTCGCAAGTATTAACGGGCAAACATTTCTATGTTATGATAACGAGAGCAAAACAAGAGGAATTCTTGGTACACTTCGTAAATTCAATCCTAAAAACAGACAATTCCAATATTTGCAGTTGAGTAAAGAATTTGAGTACCATGCATGTTAACAAGCAATGTGTCTGGGCACTTGCTGTCATTATGGCTTGTTCCCCGGTCAACATATTTTTATATTTGATTTTCACTCAATTTAAAGTGAAACAAAAATGTAGCTTCTTTCCATAATCGTTTCTGATATTTTTTTAATAGTGTAGTGTTTTCCTCCAAGTTATTTTAAAATCATCCAATTTTCCCTTGTATGTTTGATTTCAATATGCCTCATATTCTCAACCGCAGACATAAGTCAGCTATATGTAGGTGTATAGGATTGTGACTTTTTCAATCATTTTTCATTCATACCCCTAAACAATTGTGGCTAAGAAACTATTTCTCACATTTTATGGATTTTAAATTACATACATGTATTCTGCTTGTCCATGTTTAAAATCAATTTCTTATTTAACAGGGGAAAATACTAAAGGCCCACAACAGCCTACAGAAACCTCAAGTAGAAGCTTAATGACAAAATCAATAACTGTTCCAAAAAACATCCTATGGCATTAACTTATTTTGCAAATGGAAAGAAAACCCTCCACCAAAATTAAATATTTGCTATATTTGCAAACCGAGCTCTATTTCACAAGCTCCATAGGTACTTACACACATTGTTCCAAGGGTGTTAACATTTCAATTATAGCTCTTATTAGCCTGCGATCACTATGTACATTGAATTCCTGTAGGGTAATGTCAAATGTGGCTTGGAAGTGATTGCTGCAGTAGGATTACACTTGCTCATCACTGAACAGTTTAACAGTTACACTGGCACTCCATTAAACAGAGATGAGATACGCTGGTGAATGCTGTTGAAACGTGGCCTTTCTGTTGGTTCCGAACTCCAGCAGCCTTGCATGACTTCATACATTTCATTAGGGCATTCCTTAGGGCAAGGAAGTGTGTCTCCCCCTTCCACCAAAGATATCACTTCGTCATCATTCATCCCATAGTATGGTGTCAATCCACTGGAGTAGATCTCCCATAACACAACACCAAAAGACCAGATGTCAGTTTCCTCTTTGAATACGCCACACTGGAGAGTTTCAGGGGGGAGCCACCTCACAGGGTACCCAGCCCTCTCATTTTCATCCAAGGAGAAGTAATCACTATTTGGGCCTTTCCACGAGAATCCTAAATTTGATATCTTGACTACCATTCCTTTACCAATGATGCAGTTCTTGGTACATAGCTCTCTGTGAACATAGCCCTTATCTGCTAGGTATTCCATACCATTCGCTATCTGCTTGGCCATGGAAATCTGATCTATATTTGACAGCTTTGGTTTGGAGTTATGCAGGTCAGCTCTACGATGGATTGAACAGTGGCCACGTCCTGATTCGATTAGGAACTGTTGCAGGCATTCGTCATGCTCACTGAACTCAAACACGAGGCAGAGAGGAAGACCATCCACACAGACACCAAACAAACTTTGCACATACGGGTGACTGAATTTGGTCAGGGCAATGGCATCTTCCTCAAAATTTCCTTGTTCAGCCTCTAACATGTATTTTTCCTTCAGCAATTTCACCATCACCAGTGAAAATTTCTTTTCTTCATGTGCATCTTGTGTCCCGACTTCACTAATACTTCCAAGAAAGAGGCTTGAGAAATTTCCTGCCAAAGAAACAGTTTCTTGTTAAAGATGGTTGATAGTTTTAAGGTTGAGTAGAAATTCTGAAAACAATATTTGATGCATGTTACCCCATGGTAGGGAGGGCACCTCTGCCTGGATGTATGAATCCAAACCAATTGGATTTAGATCTAAAATCTAGATCTATTTTTCCACTCTGTGATGTCAAATGGGTATTTCAAGCACATTTGTTTTACCATGTCTTATCTCATGTTAGAATGAAAAGCACATTTAAAACTAAAATTTTCCCAAGCAAAATGCTAAAAATGTACCTGTCATAGTACATGCACACCATAAGGCCTTATGCCTCACAGGGGAGCAAAGAGAATGAGCGATTGTAAGAGTAGGGTACATCAAGACACCAGAAGGTGAAATACATCCGTAGACATGTACCCAACCACAATGTGCAACACTGTAATTTTAAGTGGCTCCCTATAGTTTTACGATTGAATGTGTGCTGAGGACGAAAGCTCAAGTAATCTGGGTGCCCTTGAAGGAAAACACGAGTGTTTTTCGATATTATTTCTATGACGTCAACATGAGCACAAAAAGCAAAACTGACAGTGAATTTTCTTGCTTTCCCCTCTGTGAAATTCCGTAAAATTTGGCAGACTGGTAGTAAATATTTTACTTTAGTTGGAGCTTGTTTGACAGCGGTAAAAGATATAAATTTGACATAAATTTGCAAAAATCGAAAAAAAAAAACTGCCTGTACAAACCCTACTTTTTTCGTGTTTAAAGTTTGTATCCTGCAGAATGCGATGTGCTGTGAAAATTTTGGAAGATTTCATCAGAGGAAATTCAAGAAAATCACATGTAAAGTTGTAAAAAAAAAATAAATAAATAACAAAAAAAATAAAATTAAAAAACACATTTGTTTGGGCATTTATTATTCAAGACTACAACCCAACATTTTAACAGAGATGATAGCAAAACATTATTTAATCACTGCTTATTACATGTAATAAGTTTGAGAGGACTGGGTGTAAAGAGCAATGTAAAAACAGCATTCAAAACCTAACACTTGCGTGTGCAACGCCAACCTTACGGAGCCACCTTAAGTCCATTTACAAATTTAGCAGTTCACCACAAGTACATGTATTGAACTGCCCCATCCTTTAAGTCTAGATACTGGTACATGTAAGTATAAGATTTTTTTATGAGAAACTTTACAACTACAACATACATGTACAGCTTAAATCCAAGGTACACAAATACTCACCATTTCCTGGCCCCAATTCTTTGATGAATTCCATTGTATTCCTTGGCACTGTCCAACTTAGTAGTTCAGGATTAACGTAGTAGTTTGTATGCTTTTCATATATTGGGTTTTTCTGCAATTTCTCTAGGTCAACAGAGGTTGACATATGTTTTGATTTCAAGCTGTGGTGGCGGTACAAGATAAGCCCGACAATCAGAATCACCAGAACAGCAAGCGCAGCAAAGGCCATTATCAGGATAAACGTCATTTGACCAAATAAGCTACTGGATGAGTCAGCTTCCACAACTGCTTTTACTACCAAAACAAATAACAAATACAAACAAATGTTATAAAACAACATTACTATTATTCATCAAGCTGAGTAACCCACTGTGGGCAGTGTATTGTCATTCTTACTGGCCCAATTCAGGCTGGCATTTACATGTACATGTATCTTGGGTTTTCAAAAATGAAGTGACTAGGAGTATTTCTACATGTACTTAACCCTGGATGTTAAGAGGAACTGTGAGAGTAGTGTCTTTCCCAAGAGCACAACACAATGACCTTGGCCGCAGCTTTAACCCGGGCCACTTGATCTAGAGTCTAGCATACTAACCATTATGCAACTGCACCTCTTAACCATCTGGATAACTTAGATTTATCTGCCCTTTTCATTAATTTTAGACTTACATGTAAGGAAAGTTTTGACTATCCAAGGAAAGATATTAATGGCTGGGAAAAACGTTTGCATATGTACATGTACATTTACATTACAATAGGACTACATATAACTTTTATGCTGTCAAATTTGGAAGTAATTGGATCAAAAAAAGTCCGAGGACAGCCAAAATTAGATGCGGCTGTAGGCCAAGTTCACTTTGGCTGTAAGAGGAAATTATTTTCTTTTAAATCCAATTATTTCCAAATTGGACTAGGATGTAGTTGCATTACCTGCTAATTATGTTGTGCACAGAACTCTCCAAATAACTTATTCATTTAGACAGTTTGCAAAACTACATGTATCAAATAATAATTATTTGTTCCAGCACTTCTATGAGATTTTGGGCTGGTAATAGACATGCAATAAGAAACAGGAGTGTAGAAATCTTGTTACCATTTGGAACTGTAACATAGGCAGTTTTTGTGTCAATGTTGTGAATATTCTGTGCCTCACAGCGAACTTTAGTCCTTTCCTTGCTGACTGTTAATGTGAAGTAAGATACACCTTTGTCATCTTCAGGAAGATCCTCATAATATTTATCTTCTGCCAGCCATCTGATTAAAGAAATTAAGTCAATAAGCAACTTGCAATCTCTATGCAAATGAAATGACTACGTCTGATCTGGGAAGCTCTCCTTATGAACCAGTACTGACAAATATTTAAGCCAGGTTGAATCAAAGTGGCAGGCTTTATTTAAGCCACAGAAAATTAATCTTATTCAGGTGAAGGGATGTATGTTGTCACTGCTCTGTGTTCTGGGTATGGGATGCTAGTCCATTGCATGGTTACCCCCATTAAATTTGCCAGTAACCATTTGTACGCTTGGGTGGAGAGAGGCACTGTGAGAGTAAAGATTAGTGTCTTGTCCAAGAAGCCAAGACAGCACGTCCCTGTCCAGTGCTCGAACCTAGCTACTGCGCCACTCCCAAGTCACCTTGAATCAATACCTGATCTTTGGTTTAGGATTCCCTGTGGCAGCACATGTCAATGTGACATTTCCTCCAAGCTCTGCTGTTGTATTAGCTGGGGGCACAGTGATCATCGGTGGAGATAATTTTTTAGACAGTGAAGTTGTTGGACTCTCTTTATCAGACACTACCACAGTGAATGTTACAGAAGCTAAAAAAAAAATAGCAAACAAGTGCGGGATTAGGACAATTATTGATAAGTATACTCAAGTTAATATTATAGAAAAACGGTACTTCAATTTCAATCTAAAGGTGTAACATTATATTGCACAAAGACATGACTTTAATTTTAAACCTTGTCCACTAGTTCCACTGACTGAGTTAGTATTTCTCTTTATTATATGGTAGGCTCCGTGAGTGGTGAACCAAGTCCTGTACTGTGATTGGCTACCCAAGCAGGCAGGATGGCGCTATCTTGCCCGCTAGAGAATACATGTACCTGCTGTGTCCCACAAGAAAATAGCCAGTGTGTTCTCTTCCACATAATAAATCCTTAACTCCACGTAATAACTCCCAGTTGGCTTGATAACTCAGTTGGCAGAGCACAGCACTGGTGTTGCAGAGGTCATGGGTTCGAATCCCATTCAGGCCTGAATTTTTTTTCAGACTTTAATTTCACAACTGCTTAAGTTGTGCGCATAACTGCGATGATCAATCATATCTTCAATAAATCCTTTATTGACCAAGCTTGGTCGGTCAAGATGGCCGGGTATTGGCCTCCTTCTTTTTTGCGTGTTTATGGGCCTTGACTCCATCTTGGTCGGCCATAAACACGCAAAAAAAGCTTGGCCAATAGAGTCATCTTGACCTCATGCTTGGTCAATAACCCATATGTCTGCTGCTTTCATTTATTTCTTTAAAAAAATAATAAAAAAAAAATAGCTAACTTAAGATTAATTTCTTACTGAGGACAGAAATGTTTCCACTTTTCCAATCTATTCCAAAACCATTATCTGCCGTACAATTCACAACTGCATCTCCCATTGCTTTAAAGCGCAACTCAGAAGAAAAGTTCTTTTGGATTGCTGAATCTGTCTTGTCTTCTCCATTCACTTGCCAACTGTGAAAGCAATAATGAATATCAATAGTCAATGATAAATGACAGTAACCACCACCGTAACCACCAACAACACATATACTGCACACCGGCCAATATGTGCTTTATTTACAGTGTAAGGTTCCTTTGTGGGGCTGTTTGACATCCATCCAATGAAAACATGATAAGGATTAACCAAATGAAACAGTTGTCATATTTAAATTAAATACTGGACAGATACATTTTAAAAATTAACAGCAACTCCACTCATAACACAGACCTACTGTCCCAAACAAGCATGTTAAAAACAAGAAAGGTCTGTTGATCTGCACCACTTTAAAAGCTCTATGTTGACTCCTCCTTGACAATCTGTACCTCTTTTGTTCTAAGGGCTGGGGTTGATGTTTGTGTTCTTTATCTGTTGTTTTGTTTGGCCAATTATAAAGAGCCTTGTAAATAATGCAGCTAGGTTACACCAGAAAAGTGACTTGGGAGTAAAAAGTACAATATCTACAAGGCTATAAGTACACAGTTGCCAATAAATTATGGAGATCTGGTATATATTGGGTGTTAAAACAAAACTACATGTATATTACTTAACTTACCTTATCTGTGGAAGTGGATCTCCTGAAGCAAGGCACTTCACAATGATGGTTTGACCTTCATAGACATCCATTGGAGATGGTCCAACCTTTACTACTGCCCCTTCTAAGAACAAAAAGATTTGGAATAAGAAATAAGATGAGACGCTTGAAGAGGCCAAGTGATCTTTCATCTCACATGTAAACATTATTTTGGAAGACATCATCATTTACATCTACATACAAAGATATTCCATGATACTATGAATTAAATGTTAACATCACACCCTGGCCTGCTTTGTTACATCATACATGTACATGTACCACAGCATGCTCTTGAGAAAACATAAAATGTGGTATCTTGGTGTTCAATATTCACGGTGTCAGAAGTGGGATACAAAAAATTTCTTGGAAATTCACAGATGAATATAAATTAAAAATAGAAGAGAGTAAAACTGTTGTATCCCAAGGATATGAAATTACTGTCAGTGGTTAATACAAACTACATTGTACTAACACAAAAGCATTTCACTTGCCTCTCAGTTGAAGGCTACCATATGCTGAAATGTTCTTCCCTGAGTCAACATCGCTTACTAAACAGCCGTATACTCCAGCGTCACTTGCTGACACTCTTGGCAACAGCAGAATTGACCTCTTGGTCTGAACGTTGTACTTGATTGTGTAGTGCAGCCCATCACTACTCAATTCCTTGCCATCTTTAACCCATGAAAACACTACATCTAGACCTCCTCCTTTCACTTGGCACTGAAATCTGACTTGTTTCCCAATGACAGCATGTGTGGTATTTCTCAAAGTTCTTTTAAAACTCATTTCCCTAGGGGGTCGCAGTGCTATAGTAAGGAATGTGGCCCTAAATCCAGCAGTATTCAACGATCTATCAGACCTGAATTCAATAAACATATTGTTTGTGGTTGTTTCTTGATAAAAAGGATCTTTTCTTCCACAGTATATCCCAAGTGGTGTGGCGGAATTGTTTCTTCCATCGTAAATTTTGACATAATCACTCATACACTGATATGAGTCTTCAAGGACAAAATGATAAAATTGCAACTTAATCTTGTATCCTGGAGGTGCTTGTATTAACCAGGAGCATCGTGAATAACTTGGATATGTTTTGGGATAATTTGGTGTTTTCAGCTCTCCAGTTTTCCCTGCTAATATTATTCTACCACAGCTGCCATCTACAAAACAAGTAAAGAACAGTGTTAAAAGATGAACTGAAATATTAAAATGCTTTTTTTTAAAATTTAGCTCCTAAGCTACAATTACTTTGCAGCACTATGTTGTTCAGAATTACAAGGAAGTGAGGACACTTCATGTACTGTAACAATCATTACCCCGACTGATTGCTCTCTTTGTTATATTATTGATAGTACTGTACATGTATATTATATTTAACAATTATTCCACGAGCGCACTATGGACATGAGATGGTAGATGGAGTAAATTAGTCTTGTATCTTGCCATTTAGCAGCACCTAAAAGTAAGATTTTTATAAGTACATTGAATTAAACTGCAGGGCCTGGTTAAAGTACATGTACAGTGCAAGCCTGCTATAGATCAAACTCTCAGAGAACTAGGATACCAGGGCTTTGCATTAATTGGTTGGCATGTTTGTTTTCTAAAAATATAATGTATCCATACAACATAGTGAACATAGGCTGATTTTTGCATCCTGACTAGAAATTACACTTGAACAGTGTTGTTGCTAAGTGCTGGCTGCTGGTGAAATTCGCCCGCTGAGAAAGAGGTGGTCGCTGGCTGGATAATTGGCGGGTAATCACTCGGTAAAGGACAACAAGCGGTTTTTAGGTTACTTGTTGAATGCTTTTGTTTGAAATTGGGGTCTGAGGTCATTTTTCGTGATCAGTTATCAGAGTTCAAGATACATGTAACAGGGTTAAAATACCGTAAAATAAACTAGGTGAATGTTCAAGTTAAGATACCAGAGAATTTGAGACAGCAGGAGTATTTTTTTAGATAATGAGTGAAGAAATATGATCAAATTCAAGATTTAAGTTGATAGAGATACTGTGCATGTAACACAGAATACAATGTACAAGAAGCGAGCTTGAGACAAAAGGCTCCTGAACACTAAAAGTAATGAATACCAGAACAACAAACATACAATTATTTAAGTGACAAAAGATGTGACAATTTGTGGCATATCCCAAGCATAACTGGTTCAGTTTACAAGAGTTCAGTCACATGAGGTAAACTAAACAAAGCACCTTTAATCAGAAGATTAGGATAAAGACAGATAGGAAGTGCTGGTGTGTTCCCTACAGCTCCAGCTTAAATATCATATGACATCAACTGGGCTATTTCAAGGGATGTTATGTCTGGCCCTGCCCAAGGAAGCAAATAACATGTTCAGGAGGAAACAAAAATATATCTAAAATTATCAGTGACCATACATGGAATAAATTGGCAAGGATGACATATTTCTGGGAGTCTGAAGAGTTCCACCCCAATATCATCTTGTGTTTAATTGCTCATGTCCTTGACTCATGAATGTACACTGTACATACCTTAGAAAATTAATTTCTAAATTAATCTGTGTTTAATTTAAAATTAAACACAGATCTACAGGTTAACACTCTAGTATAAAAAGCTACTGAACAGTGGTAAGTGGGTTGGTTACCAATTTTTTGCAGATTGAAGTGTGAGAATTGTTTTTCAACCTCTCTTAGGGTGAAAGGGTCACCGTGATAAAATCAGTGAACAAAATCCACTTTGTACCAGCTAGAATGGGACATAAGAGGACGACAAAAACTAGTAATTGTCTAGTTGCCTGATAAGAAAGCAAAAATTAAGTACCTGGCTAGAGGTGTGATATGTTAGAAACTTATTCAGGACTACAAGAAAATTACTGTGCCTTGAACAAAGTTTAGATTCCATTGATGTTTCAAGCTTCAGCACTACAGTGCTCAACAGAATTGTCACGATCATAACTACTAAAAGTGTAACAAAGTAAAATATTCTTCACCCTTACATGTACCAACCACAGTTTTTTTTTAATTAAAAGCAACTGTACACTAGTGTTGGCTGATAAAAAATTGAGTGACAAAATATTTGGTGTATGTATAATTTCCAACTTGGTTATATCAAGTAAGTGTGGCACAAAATCAATTGTTGTCATCACTGATGCCAAATTCTTTGGGACATTTGAATGTATTTTTCATGACACGTTGGTACGACTACTTCAAAAACCACATGCGAATATTTTATCAAGATAAAATAAACTTGCATAGCAACAGTTATGAAGAAAGTTTTGTGTTACACACCAACTGCTACAATGTAAAATTTAAGAGCTATAATCAAGAGGGAAAGACAATTCCCAGAATACCATATCACTCTTTTGTGGTTATTTTCCAGAAGTGAGGTTTGCCACAAAAATTCAAAACTGGATATATTAAGGTATAACGTATCAGTCCACATTTTTCTGGTCATCTGTAAAGTAAATTCAACCCTTCAAAACCATGCGGATTGAGATCACTTTACAGTTTAAGCTGATTACTTAATTTTGGAAAGAACTGGAGAAAAGATCACCCACTGTTTTGTTTCTGAAAGAATATTTGCAAAGAAAATGGATTAAAGAAAACCAGCTTCGATCAGTAGCTAAAAAAGATATCCTGACAAAGAAAATAATTAAAAGTGTATCTGTATTTTTTCTACAAGATGTCATTCTAGATGAGAACAATGTATAGTAATCTACTGTACCTTGGCTCAGATATACATGTATTATTTTTTACGTTCGTGATTCACGCATGAATTGCCAAATTTAAATTTACATCATTATAATGCCGTGACATGCTACTGTCCATTTCACGTTTTTTTCACAGGAATAAGCCAATATTTTTTTAATCATAAAACTTCGATCTTTAAGGGATGCACAACAGAATCCTATCATTATATACGACAAAATTATTCCTTCGCATTCAGTAATTCTGAAAGTAAACTAGGGAAAGGATAATTTTGTTTGTGATCATTTTTTACAATCATCAACCAACAATATTAATGCCTCTCATTTGCCATATATTGCCCGAGTATAATTATACTCACGCGAGCTAATAAAATAGAGCAGACAAAGCTGTTTTTATTGCGTGAAGCACCAGCTGGTTAATGATACTATTAAAAGGCTTTGTTCTTCACTTTTTTTAAAACTGAAAACAAGAGTTTTCAATAATCGAAGGTTTCAGTCTGTTTATCGCACCTGACACGCTTCGATTTCGCGCCCAGATTATCTTTAATAAGCTTAAACTTAGTTTTATTGACGCGATATCTACCTCGATCTGAATTTACATAATCATTTACAGGTTTCTTCTCGATATAATTGAGAAGTTTCAAAACATCAGAAAATGAACGTGGACATGTTATCGGAGAAGGATCAGGAAACTAAGAAATGAGGCAGAAGTTTAAAATTATTTTGTAACGCGATCAACATGTTAGTACAAAGTCTCCCATTCATCTCATACAAGTTCTTATAAAACCTCATGTACTACTCCTTCCCCAAACTTTGCTTCTGAGACAAGATTACCTAAATTAATCAAATCCTCTACCTACTGAAAAGAGAATCTACGTGAATAAAATAAATTTCCCATATCTTAACAGGAAACTTATTCAAAGTCTATTCTTTCAGCGCCTTCTAAAATAAAGATTCCCGAATCGATTTGCAGCTCTGATGAAAGCTTACATTTATTCAGCTATTGTAAATAAATTTTGGATCATGTATTATGTAGGATCTTATTGTAATTTATTATCTTAGATAGTGCAGGTCCACATCAGGACTTAACGTCTTGCCAATTGATCTGTAACCTGCTTTATCAAATAAATCATGTATGTATGTATGTATGTATGTATTTTACTGTCACGCTAATAAAATATAGTTAATAGAGCGTGACGTACGTTCTCAATGAGCCGCTCATGGCGCCATCACTTTCTATAGAGCTATTGAGCAGCAAACTGTAAGCTTTATTGTAGCTAAACCTAAAACATTGTAGCTTTGTTACCTTCAGAACGCTATAACGAACCATAGCATTGGTGCAAAGCATTAAAGCACTATTCACTATTCGTGCTAGGGTAAGCTGTTCGGTAGTACAGCCTTTTCTACTGGCTTACCAGCAGGCGAACGTCTCCATATAAAAGTTCAGACAACTGTTCGGAGTCCATTTTGAGTTCGTCTGAGCAACGTAGCCATTACTTATTGTAAATCTGTCGTTTAATTTTCCCTCCCTTTGGAGACGAGGTTGGTCATATATTCCTGCATAATAAACAAAGGGTCACTCCTGTGTGGTGCGGTAAAGTCTGCGCAGCGACTTCCCCCAAGCTTATTGTTTTTTCATCGCCTTTGAACATCGCTTGCTAACCTATACTCTTGTCCGATTCAGCTCGTGCTGTCAGTCATTCGGCTCGTAGTGCTGGGGGGATCAGTGAGGTTGTTTTGTCACGCTATCGCCGGAAGTCACATGGGCTAACCGAACGCAATGCAGTGTTCCCCGATCGCGAGTTGTTTGTATTTGATTAATAGCTCTGGTTCAATTGCAAGTTGCCACGGTTAACTTACTTTCGCTAGGAACAACAACATTAATTCAAATTTTCCGAAGAGCATCCCCGAACTTTTCACATGGGCGGAGAACCCCGGGGGCTTAGACCGTCCGCATGAGTAAAATTCGCGTCACGCTATGGCCGTTTCTAGACCCTCCTGAGATNATGTATGTATGTATGTATGTATATTGAAAATTCTATTGAATTAGTAGTAATATCCACTATTTCACTTTATGAACTTGATTTTAAGACAAAGAGAGGTGACTGACCTGTTAGAGAAACCAAGTAACCAACGAATACCAAAGAAACGGCACAAAAGTACACGTCCACAAGATGAAGGCCGCTTCGCCAAGAAGCCATAGATCACGTTACAGGACGTTGCGACCGAGCAACACGTTTGCTAGATTTCTCAAGCTTCACGACTCGAAATCCTGGGGTACGCGACCGTGTTCACTCGGAAATCTTGAGCAGTTTTCGACTCTAGGACAATCTTGTGCAATAGCCGAAGAGCAAGGGGAATTGCCGACTTCAAAATTCATACACGAACGTCACCAGATCGATAAGTCTGTCTCCTCCCTTCAGAAACGGAAATGCCTTTACTTTACGTCGCAAGCAGCGCGGAATGTTTTTACGATCTGCTACGTATTTCCTGTCAACTGTCAAATGTCATGACCGTGAAGGCCTGGGAAGAAGCCGTACACCGCTGACTGGCTCTAAGTCGTGACTGCTTTTCAAAATGGCGGTTGACACTGAGTGACAGTGTCTGTGGCGTTTGAAGTTGGTTTGAAGCTTACAGTTGTTCTCATGTTTGCTTGCAATGGTATAAAGATTATCATCCTGTCTTGTGTCGTTTCTTTCTTTTTCAAAGTCATGTCCAAAATAAGTGTAAACGTGCACAGCCGTAAAGAGTTTGTACAGACAGTCAACGAGTATGAAACAGTTGCATGTTAGCTTGCAGACCTTACATGTATCACGTTACAGGTAAACTTTCCTTTGTAGAGCAAGCATCACAAACGCAGTATCCTAGAGAATAGTGAAGACCCCAAGAGCTCGCTGAGAGAACCATGTAATTCCTTAAGGTGAGATGATAAAATTAAAAGCTTATTATTAGGGTAGAGTAGAGTAGAGTAGAGACTTTATTGGAGAGGGTGACAGAGAGGGTGACATTTGACAGTAACAAAACTGATACACTAATATGACTAATTTACAATATCTAAGTAGTAAAAAAAAAAAAAATTGTAAAACTGCTAGATACTAATAAATATGTATGGTACAGACAGTATTTATTTATTTATTTATTTATTTATTATATTATTTTATAATTCATGCCCAATGAAATATTAGCTTAACTTGATGAGAATAAATGTTTGTAGTAACAGCTTTTGTTTCAAGATTCTAGTTTGTGGTATTCTTATTTATTGTCTTTATTTCCTCAGCACTTCAAAAACATTTCTACATTCAGGTAGTGATGTTAAAGAATTAAATTTATCTTGGAAGAAGCTGCAGACTGGGAAACTTAAAGGGGCAAGCTCTTCATCAACAGGGTCAAAGGTAGAAATATTAACAATTAGAACTTTTTTTTTTGATTTTGATTTTTTATTTGATTTGTTTTTTTGACAGTTAAAATTTTTAAGGTAACCAACAGTCAGAATTTCTCTTTTTTTTTTTTTTAATAATAATCTTGCACAATTGTCATTCAATGTTGGAGTTGCTAGTGTCTTGTTTATTCAGCTCCAGCAGAATATACATGTAATTCTTTTAAGAAGCGAGATGATTTTCCAAACCTAAATTATAAAATATTCTTACTGAGCAATCAGAAAGAGCATGTCGTACTCTCATAACTTGTGAACACCGTTTGCACCATGTTTCTTGCTATTTTTGTGAAAAGAACCAAAATTTTTCATGTATTTTATTTCTTGAGATAGATGCAGATTTAGGCTCTAAACGTCATAAATGGTTTTAAATAATGCTTAAAACCACCTACCAGACTATTTCCAAATTAATTTTGTGTAATTGATTGACCATCCAGGAATTAAGGTTCCTGTTTCCTAATGGTATAAATATTGTTTTTCAGAAACATAATGCATGGATTGCATCTTCCTTTGGTGACTTTGATGAAGGCAATGCAAAGAGAACAAAACTAGTAAACATCAAGAATTCCTTCAACACAAGTAAAATTTAACTTCTGAATCATTTCTCCCTTTTAGCATAAACAGGCATCTCTCTGATCCCCTTGCCCATATGCCATCAGTCACTGGACATTCTCCAGTGGCTTTCATGCAGGTGTGTCATGCAGGGCTCAAAATTAACGTTTGCAAACTTGCAAAATGCGAATGGTTTTGGTAATTTGCGTGACAAAAAAATATCCACTAGCGCATGTTTGCAGGTTAGAATTATCCATTTCTCCAAAACATTTCAAGGAAGCTGTTGAAGGCAAGAAAGAAAGTACGAATAAAATCTGGGGCAAATGACGGAAGATGAGAGGAGCATGTTTTATGTAAGCCAAATATAGTCAATCCAAACGAAAAGCAGCTACATGAATATTGTAATAATGTATTATTACTCGAATAATTGCCACAGGGCTTATTAAATTTTTCGTGCCTCAAATGTGACACTTATTCGAGGAGGGCGCTTATTTGAGGGCGGCGTTTATTTAAAAAGTGGACGCAACAAAGAAGTTTTTCTTTTAATTTAATGGTATATTAATTTCCTATTCGTAAGAAAATTGACAGTAACCAACAGAAGGGTCGTTTGATTGTCACCATTCATCCCTTCAGGCACTCAATTGCTTTACCTGTGGTGTCTCTCAGTGCACTCATTCCTTCAAATGTGGTATGCTAGTGGTCTTACCAGTTGCTAGTAGACAAAAATCTCACTAGCAAAACTTTGCTAGTGGAGTAAAAAACGAATTTCAAGCCCTGTCATACCTTGGTACCTCCAAGATACATGTACATGTATCATTGATTTGTTGAGTGTTAGTAGAGATGTTGTAATCAGTTAGGATCAGTGTCTGATTTTTTTGAGATCTCAGTCTCTAAACCAGTCCGGCAAGGTTATTAGGGTTGTTATCAGACACAAGCTTTACCACTATGAAGATTATAACAGGGTTCGTACGGGTCCTGGAAAACCTGGAAAGTCCTGGAATTTTACTGTGGCATTTTCCAGGACTGGAAAGTCCTGGAAAAGGGCTACTGGTCCTGGAAAGTGCTGGAAATCTGTTAAATGTAAGTAAAAAATATGAAATGTATGGCACACAGCAAGGAGAATTAAAATTGAGATCTTGGGAGTGAAAGGGTTAATGTAAATTTTAGAGTCCTGGAAAAGTCCTGGAAATTTGTTTCTGAAAAAGGGTACGAACCCTGTTATAAATGAGCACAGACTTAGGTATTTGGTAATGAGTCTGGTTATTAACTGATGTTTTATTTGTTCTAAATTAAAGATGGTCGTCAACTGGTTCCACAGAAACTTAAGAAAGATGAAGATCTCTGGCTAGACAAGTACAAACCAAAGTCAGAGGTACATGGTTCAAAGATGCCTATATTATTAAGTTAAAAACTTGATAAAATGAGTTACTTTTAACTCATTTTCATCTTCTTCAATACTGGTTTGAACAGCTTCATGCATGACCAGGCCAATGATTCTCCTTCATATAAAACTGTCTCATGTAAATTATTCTCACATATAAACCTTGCTTTTTCCAGTCTGAACTTGCGGTTCACAAGAAAAAAGTGGCTGAGGTCCGTAACTGGCTTCTGGATCACTTCTGTTCACAGGTAAACAGGTCATGTGAAATAGACTTATTATAAATAATTAATTTATCATATTTTATCAAACAGACTAACAAGCATACAGGTGTTACAACACTGCAATACGAGTATTACTGAATTGCAATTAAATAACTTGTCTTTTCTTTATAATTTGTGTTTAATTTCTATAATTCTTAGACTATACTGTATTGAGTGTATTAATAGATTAGTGACTCTAAAATCTGAGAACAAGTGCAAGATTGACCAATGAGTCTAAGCATTATAGTAGATATGTGCATGTATTCAAACCAGTTGTGCTTTTGATAATCACTGATCAATGCTTGACGTACAGTAAATTGTGCACTGATAGTCTTCAAATATATTCAGGTAGTCAGGAACCTGAAGAATTGAGGGCTCTGGGGAAAAAAAAATTGATTGAAACTGTAAAGTACATGTACTCTGTCTTATACTGTTCTGGTTTGTAAAAGTTCTTATTGTAAGAGAGTATACCTGGTGGGGTGTAAACCATCCAGGAGCATAAACTTGTCATTTGTGATTCTCTCTCAGTCGTCATCTGGAGCTGTGTTGCTCCTGACTGGTTCAGCTGGTGCAGGCAAGACTGCGACAGTTCATGTGTTGGCAAATGAGCTGGGATTTGAAGTGCAGGAGTGGATCAACCCTCTTAGTGAGACTGACGGTAAGAGCCTGGGAGGGGGACTCCCAAATAAAAGGGCAGGGCTGCTCGTCAGAAATTTTGAAAAGAACCTCTAAGAGATACCAAGGTCCTGTTTTGTGGGCGTGGCTTGAATTTTTCTCACCCCTAAGAGGTACTGATTCTAAAACAACACACTATCTCCTGTCACATTGTTTTGGCTCAATACCATAAAAGGTACTGCAAAAGCTCCTGCTGTGACCTTCTTAGGCTGAACACCCTAAGAGGTACTAAAACCATGTTTTTAACCCCTTAAAGGTACGACGAACACCCCAGTCCTTTTTATATGGGAGTACCCCCCTGGGGGTAAGAGCTACATTGTAGAAATAACAGCCAGGCAAATTAGTCATATGGGTCCCGTTGAGTGTGACTGTAAGTTCCTGTTAATTTTTGGAAGGCGCATTGTCCTAATGGTTAGTGTGTTGGACTATGAATTGAGTGGTTTGGGTTTAAGCTCTGGTGGGGGATATTGTGTTATCTTCTTGGGCGAGACATTTCACTCTCACAGTGCCTCTCTCCACTCAGGAGTATTATTGGACATCAGTGAATTGTTGGGTATCCTCAAAGTGCTGGGGAGTAACTTATGATGGCCTGGCCAAATATTCCTAGATGCTTCATGCTAAAGAAACTGCAGTTAACTGCAGCTTTGGGTCAGTTGGGTTTCAAAAGCTTTACTAATAATAATTAAAGGAGAGAGTCACTCCAAAAACCATATATTTTTTGTCAATGCTAATAAAAAACTTTGCACTAAGTTTAGGCACTCACCGAAGTTTCAGGCTCAGTGCAGGTTTTTGTTATGAAATTCGTCTCAAATGAGCCCAAAATTCAACCTTTTCCTTTAGTAATTGCTTAATATCTATTGCATATCACAGCTGATGGTGAGTATTCCAACTGGAGCAAGAGCAGTCAGTCCCAAGTTAGACAGTTTCAAGACTTTATTCTGCGTGNATTTACTATTTTCATTTCGTTAAAAATAAAATCCATTGTTAGTGGGATTTTATTCATTTCAAAACCTCTTGATTTTTGTATAAGTGGGAAGACATGGAGGCCTTTAAAGGCTGTTAATTCTTGTACTGGAATACGGATCGAGCAGTGCAGGTGTGAGCATTCGTTGGGTCATTGGTCAATACAGTTTACTCTCACAGTGCGTGGGGGAGTGTATTTTTACTGGGTGTATAAATAGGTTCCAGCAAATTACATGTAATTTAAATGTTGGGGGTAAGGGGGGAGGAGGTACCCTTGCAAAGGACTAGCGTAACATCATTACATCCATATGTGTTTGAAACTAGCCTGGTCTTGTCATGCTATAGAAAAAAGTTAGTTCTGGCAACTATGTTGAATGGGTGCAGACTTAAGATTAACTTGACCACTGGACCATTCAACTATTTTGTAGTTTCTATTTCTAATTTTCTAATCAATTTATATAACTGATTATTTTTTTTAGTAAATTTTATAATAAATGTCCATGCTTGATGTACATGTACCATCCTTTTTCCTACTTTCAGCTTCAATCCTGTGGCACACACCAGCTTGGTAAAAGCTATGAACAGAATAACTTCTCTGGAAGCTCAACAGAGTCAGGTACAAAGAAGCTCAGTTTAGCAGTACCACTTTCGTTCAATATTATATTTACTTTATAAATACATTTTCTTTCAAAAGGTCTAGATAACAGCAGACATGTAAAGATTTTAAGGAAAACGACCAATTTTTTAAGTTTGAAAGACATGTTTCGACAGAACTTCTGCCATCTTCAGTTGAATGAATGATTACAAAGCTAATAATAATAATAACTAATAATAATAATTGCTAATAATAGCGACACTAGGCCTACAATATACATATATTTTTTTACAGAATAAATCAACTTTTATGATTCCAAGTAAGGAAACAGTTGAGCTGTTGGCTCAGAATAGTGGGGGAGACATCCGGACTGCTATTAATGGCCTTCAGTTCTCTTGTTTAAAAGGTTAGTCTGCAAGAAATGAGAAATATCCTACCATCATAGCTGTGACAAATGATCCACAAAGGTTTAAATATGTTGAAATCTCACACAATTGTCTGGTAATTTCTTTCAAGATCCTTTGGATTTATTGTACTATTTAGTTTCTGTTTCAGATGTTGACTGTGGTTCTGAATTTTGTAACTTTACAGACAAATCATACACTTCAAAAAGGAAGTTTAATCTGGCAAGAAAAGATGAGAGTAAGTCTAAAAGGTCAAAAGCAAGGACAACAAAAGGCGAAAAACAGATTAACTCAGTGCACGAAGGTGCCGATGCTTCACACTCTAGTCAGACATCACAGTGTCTGGTTTACAGCAAAGAGAACACAGACAATAACCTTGTGTCGGAGACAGTCACAGCCATTGGTGGAAGAGATACAGCTTTGTTTCTCTTCAGAGCCTTGGGAAAGATCCTGTACTGTAAAAGTGAGTAGTGTCTGGTGCAAACCAATTGGCCAATTTCCTGAGTTGCCTTTTGCCTCTGTTTCAAAATGAGTCTTCGTGTGAAATCATGAATATGAAAATGTGTGTGCCTTCACATTTTCTCTCATGCAAATCAAACTCATTTTCATATAAAAGATTTCCATGAGGACTCGTTTTGAAACACTGAGGCATGATGCCAACTGAAGGTAACTTAGGAATGGCTCATGTGCTGGTAATGGCTCATGGTTTGATAATTATTTCTTTTCAGGAGATCCAGGATTGTCAGATGTAGACCTGCTTCCATTTCACTTGTCACATTATGCAAGAAACCAGTTGTTATTCTCTCCCGAGGTAGTGACCAATAAAATCAGAATTGTTTCATTTTAAGTGTGCAGACTCATATTCTGGCCAGGGTTTGGTGATTTACTGGATCAATCAGCATGTAATACAAAGGAAGAGGTTTTCTTCAAGACAAGAAGCAAAATAAATAATTATATATGACTGCAAAGAATGAGAATGAAAGTTAACCTTTATTGAACAGTTTAAGGGTAATGAAACTACAAGATTTTTAAAATCAAATTACAGACAATCAGTATAGAAAGTACTTATAAGAAGAAAGTGGAATTTAAGTTGATTTTAGGACTTGAATGGTAACGTTTGTACTTGCTTTCTCCTTGTTCTTCATGCAGGATGTGTTAGATAGAACTCACCTTTCCAGTGAAGTTTTTAATCTTTACCTTCATCAAAATTATCTGGAATTTTTTGATGATATTGATGATGTGGTAAGTTAGAGAAAATAGAAATCTTCCAAATATAATGTAATACCATTAGTATTGCCTAACTACCAGGTATGAATTATTGATATTATAGGAAAGTACAGAATTTTACAAAAGCCAGAATCAACTGGTTAACACAATAATTATAGTTATTAAATAAAATGATTTTAAAATTTATAAGTTCATCATCTATATTTATGGGCTCTCAAAGGTTGTACTTGATACATTTAGTGGTCTCTGCTTTTAGACTGTGAAAGAATTTAAAGTATCTGTTATTAATTATCATTGAACATCTTTTATAGAGAATGAAGATGGTAATTGAAATTTAATATTATTTAAACCGATTTTCAGGTGAACATCAGTGAAAACTTTAGTGATGCAGACTACATGACTAAAGAGTGGATGGTAATGTTTTGTCTGTTTATTTTGTTCAATTTAAAGATGTTTATTCTCCAAACTAATTAACCCTTTGAATGCAACCAGTGGCCATATTGGATTTTTGTGGGGCTGCTCTGGCAGCCCCATGACCACCTCTTGCCCTCACAGGACTGGCTCTCGCAGCACCATGACCACCTCTTGCAGGACCTCGAGGGTGACCTCTTCCTCTTCCTTGGCCTTCATTATTAGCTCCCACAGAATCCTCTTAACTTTTACTGTCGCTCGCATCGATTGGGTCATCTTCTTCTACAGTTTGGCTCTCTTCCTCATCGTCTGACTCTAAACTGTCTCCACTGTACTCTGAAACATCTTCACTTTCTTGATGACTCTCGTCGCTAAGATCAGAGTCCCTATCCGTGAAAATTTCTGCTAAAGCTTTGTCTACATTCATCCTACAGCTACCTTGAGCTTTTCTGACATCCTCCATTGTCTAGGAGCTACATGGTTGACGTCTACATGTTATTCTTTTTGTGTTGTATATTTTTTGAGTTACATGTACATGTATCTAGCGCAGAACTAATTTAAACATAATGTTAGTATTTTATATTTTCTTTGTCTCTCTAGTTGTTTGTTATGCATTATGTAAGTAATCTAATATAATTGTAACAACTGATCTGCCTAGACAAGACTAATGCTAAGACTAATGTTTTGTCTTGTACCAATTTCTAAATGCAATTGAAATAAATCGTGTGCAAAGTGTGTGTACATGTGCATGTGATCAACTGAATTAATTTATTTTATGTTATAATATACATAGGACCCTCCATGTGCTTTGATTGGTCACAAACCCATGTTTTATCAGAGAATAACCATAGTAAAAGCTTGTTTTATTGTTTTTCGCCACATTACCAAATGTGGCAAAAAACAAATGAGAAGCCTAAGCCATGAATTACACATTGACAAAACACTCTGGACATTTGAGAACAACTGATAATTGAAGAAAACACTTGCCTGCAGCTCTCGTGTTTTCTACATTTCCCTCATGTTCTCAAATACCCATTGTGTTTTATCACAGTGTACTACACGGCTTTAAGGCTTCTCTATTTGTCAATTAACACAGCATCAGTCTTCTATGAGGGAATACAGCTCTTGCCTGGCGGCACGTGGGCTGATATTTAATGGCAGACCGGGAGGAAATTCCAGCAGTGTGGGGAGAGGATGGAGACCACTCCATAAACCACAGTGGTTTGATGTCAACAGAAAAGTATGAATTATTTTTAAAATTACCTTATTTATTTACCTTAATTATTCAATTATTATTTTTACTTGGAAAAAGGCAATTTGTTCAGATATTACTGGAGGTGGAAAGAACATGAAATGGAACTAGAAATGAAGCATACATGTATTACTTGTAACCGAAAAAATTTCAAAGCCGTTATCATGGTCATAAAAATAGCACTACATGCACAAAAATAGGGCTTTCATCAAATATATTTATCAATTTAATTAATATGAATTCACTTTAGAAAATGTTTAATTTTACTTACAAGTAGAATCATAACTTGTAAATGGTATGTTAAGTTATTTTAATAATGGTTTAACATTGTTACCATGCAATTTAGGATATTGTTAGTTTTCCTGCTCACATTATGATGCCTGAATTCTTATTGCTTTAATTTGTAAAAGTACATGTACATGTAGCTCATCTAGTATGATTATGTGGTTATGGGGTGTTTTGTAGAAGGTCTCCCAAGATCTCATGTAAAATTAATGGCTCAATACCCTTCAAGAGAACTATAGACTAACAAACTACATGAACAAAGCCCTAGCCGGTAAACAATAACAGCTGCAACATTATGACACAAAATAGAATTACAAGCCTATGAGAGCTGCTACACCTCCAGTCACATGTGAGGACTCCTGGTAGCTGAAATGAAAGGCAATGTTTTAAGTTAAGTCAGAACTACTCAATGATACTCTTGAGTTACAATTTTTACCATGTGTTAAAGTTGTGTTGAATTATTTTCAGATGCAAGATGGTGCTTGCACTGCAAGAGACTTATTCAGAGGTATAATCTTAGTCTAGTTTAATATTTTTTCCCAAATGTACATTTTTTACTTTGTTATTATTTTTGTTTCTTGGCGGACCTGTAAACTACCTGGTGCATGCTGTAGACTCTGCTCATCAAGTCTATGGGATGCACTGTGACCATAGCTACATGTAAGTGTGTGACCAGGTAAAACTATACGTATGTCTTTGTCTATGTCTCTATCTGCAAATGTGATTGTGATTGTAACATGAAAAGCATTACCTAATCATCATGACAACAAATCAGTGGAACATAATTATTGTAATCTTTTCAGTAAACTTGCATTCATAACTTTGTGTCCTAATCTTTTTACCTCACAAGGTTGTCATTGGCCATCATTAGTCTTGCAAACAGAGATTGTCCCATATTTAGCTATTACTGATGTACCACTGAGAACACCAGGTGTGGGACTAAATATAAGAATTATTTGTCAGTTCATCATTATGAAAATGACTATTAAAGTATTAATCTCCGGTGCTAGACATGCACTGTATGTAATTCATGTATTGGCGCATATCTCAGCCAGAACTTTGTGCTGTGGCCTGTTACTTTGCACACTCTATTTTGCTAGCTACATGGGGGAGTGAGAGACGTCCAAGAGTTGATAGTTTTTTTTGACATTAATTTTTTGAGGTTTAACCTTCAGAGGTAAAATTTACTTAGTATGGTATTTACATGATTAAGAGCCGCCCCCGATTAAGCACTGCATACAGTATGTCGAGGAAAAGTATTATAGCGTACCACCCTTAAGTATGTGCCGCATTCATTTGTAATGCAGCANATAATTTATGAAAATAATTGTAAAAGCAGAGTGAATAGTTACCAACAGTATATGCACATAGACAGGTATCTATTTATAGATTGTCACCATGAAGTATCTCATTAACATCTCTCTATACTGAAAAAAATGAGACTAGACTTGGTGGACAGTTTACTTTGTTTTGTAAATACTAGCAAAAAAAAAATGGCAGCCTGCTCGTGTTGAGTAATAATACGGAATGAGTTGGAACAGTGTGATATGCTATAGCAAAGAGCGAAGAGTTGCTTTCTTTTCCTTGTGTGTCTGCCCAGGCATGTTACACCTGCTGTGACTTGCTCTCTCTTTCTACTTGAAAGCCTGCTTCGTGGGGTACCACTGTATTGTCTCTTAAATACTTGTCAGTTTATTACATAATTTAACTAAGATAATACTTTATTTTTGTACGTTGTGTTTCACACTAGAGAAAACAAGTGTTATAAAGAGGAGACTTATTTGTACAAATAAAATGTGAAACAACAAACAGTAGTTGGCGGTTTTAAACATAAGTACATTCTTCTAATCAAAGGTGTACTGTGAGTTTTAAGATTTGGCAATCCCTAACTTTCTCCAGAAATCATCACCACACGCTGTTTGATTGGAGAAGTGTTAAAATTTGTTGTAAAATCTGTGGTGAATGTTTCTTGAGGGCAATTCCTAAGAGAACTGGTTTACTGCAATGCTCATTGACCAGGGCTCCTATCTGTTTTGCATAAACATGCCAGATTTCCTGTAATATAAAAATAAACAGAGTATTTAGATTTTAATCCCTAGTGTCATGTTTAAGAGATTTATTGGAATGGAATAGTATTACTTCTCNGCACAAGACTGCTCCTGGGTGTGGTATTGGCCAGGGTGTAAATCTTTGGGTAGGGGTGTGCTGCCCATGATCAGCTTGATTTTGAAATCCTATTCTAGACTAGGCACCCAAAACCGCCACCCTATCACAGACTTCATGTAGCTATTGTCTATGACGACACTATCAGTGCAACACATGCTAACTAAACCAATATATAAGCTTACAAAGTCACTTAAATTTCCATTATTAATAGAACTCGAACCCTATTCTGAATTTAGGAACCAAATGAAGATTGCTGTTGTTGTTTTAGACTATATGTTTCATAAACTGGCCAATTTTCCGGTTAATTCACATTACTATCGATCTGACAAAATTTAAAGCTTACCAAAGTTCCAATTTTCTCAAACTGGGAGACGATCACGAACATTCTGTCGTGATAAGCGGAACATAGCACCTCCGTGTGGATTCCATCTATGATAGCCGCAGCCTACAAATTTAATTAGTTTTCTGTAGCATTTTCATAACTTGACTCGCAAGAAATTGAAAATAGTAGCCTGATACTTACTTGACGTGTTTGAATAAAGTGAGCGGCCATTTTAAAACCTGCGAGAGTCTGGTGCCGCGATACACGCCTCCGCGTCACGCTAACCTACAAACCGTGACAC